AGTCTGTGGCATTTTGCTATGGAGGCCGGAGCAACATAATCCAGAGGGCAGTTATTCTGTAAGGCATCGCTCAACATGGTCCTGCCTCCTTTTTAGCTGTTCCTTCTTGCCATCCCAGATCCTCCTTCAGCTTCAATAAAAAGCAACTCCTACGTGCCAGGCTGTGCTGAGAGCGTTACTTGCACGGCCCTCAGAACAGCCAATTGAGGTGTGTATTACTATTGTACCCACTTTACAGATAAGGAAAACTGATCATGGAGGGCTTAAGGTCACATAGCTAGGAGGTGGAGGAGCCAGACAGTTTGGCCCCCGGGGTCATTGGGCCAGAAAATGTGGGTCCATGAAAGATAAACTAATTTGAACTACATGATACATAACAAAGAAGATGAATTCACCACCCCAGCAGTCCTGTACATCGGGTGCAGATGCTGCAGAGTCCGGCTCTGCTTGTAGGGAACACACATCTGTACTTCAAGGTCCCGCTGACCCAACTTCACTTCTAATGAAGTTCCTCTAGTTCAGCACCCCTCAATAGGCCCTTCTCCCCTTTTTTGAACCTATTGGAACGGTAACAGCTATCATTCAGTAGGGGTCTATTATATACTGGTTTCTGTTCTGGGAGGTTTATAAATATAAGTCATTTGTTAAAGAGAAAACCACAGGATCAATATGGTGTCACTTGTGCTAAAGCCCGCGATACCGAACCTGGACTTAGTGTCTGACTTAATGGCTGTTCCGACCTCCCCCAGAAATGTAATCTTAATCAACCAGTTTGGAATTTTCTGGGCAGCACCAATGAGGTCATCTGTCCTGTGGGCCCTCTCCATCCTCCACCCGCTCCGCCACCCTCAAGAGGCAATCTGTGTGATAAAGACCCCTGCTTCCTCCCCTCTCCACCCCAGATGTCTTCGCCCAAAATAACCTTTTCTTTTCCTCTTGCTAATGACTTCCTCGCCCCGCCCACCTTTCTAGAAAAGCCTTCCATTTTGTACCACTCCTCAGGGCAGTTACTCCACGATCCAGGTGTATCTTTTAAAAAAAATATAAACTCGTGTAGTTTTTTCTTTGAGGGGGGTCATTAGGTTTATTTATTTATCTATTTATTTATTTTAACACACGTACTAGGCATTGAACCCAGGACCTTTTGCATGCTAAGCACACACTCTACACTGAGCTGTCTCCCGTCCCTCAGGTACATCTTCTAGTGGTTAGATGAGATGGAGCCTGATCCATGAATCATTGAGTAAAATCAATTAGACCTTCAAATTTCCTGGGTTGGATTTCATTTTCGTAACAATTTCATGCTCACAATAACCCCACTATAAGAGGCAGGCACAAAATTTACAGATGCTGTAAGAGGCAGGCAATTTACAGATGAAGAAACTGAAGGCAGGGGTGAAATAAACTGTCTGACTCTTACATCAACTTGAGAGCGTCTTGAAGGTATGGGCTGGGCGGGCTTTGTGGGCATGTGACCTAGGCAGGCATATACGGCCCCACACTTGGTTTAAGGCTCTACATCTTGAAATCCTTAGTAATTTTTGAAGGAGGACAATGAATTTGCATTTCGCATTGGGCCCTGCAAACTATGCAGCCAGTCCTGTGTCTGGCTCCCGAGACCTTGCACTGTTTCGGCTCTGCGCCCACTGAAGATGGCTATGTGAGTGCCAGAGACATTTTATTGCATATGTTTATCTACATGTTGGTCTCTCTCCCCAGCCTGGGGACCACCAGAGGCTGGTTGGTGTCCTCAGCACCCAGCACAGAGCTTGGCACACTGGAGATGTGTGGGAAATGTTTTCTGAGCAAACTGACTAATGAATGAACAGACTATTCTGAAAAACAGAACAATTCTAAAAAACAAATATGCAGATACCTCAATTAGCTAGAGTCAGGAGACCAGAAGGGGGCGCTCTCATACCCTGTGATGATGGCCGAGACCAAGAGGAAAAAGACTTCTCTTCTTTCCTGGTACCAAATCGGCCAATGAGAAGCCATGGACAAATGGTTTGTAACAGCCCCTCCCAACTTCCTCTTCCCCTCTATAAAAGAGTTCTCCTTCCCTTGCAGTGGGGGGACATGCACGTGGGTCACCATGGTTGCAGACCTTGAGATGCAATTCTCTGCTGATCCCAAATAAACCATCTTTGCTGGAGAAATATCCGAAAGTCTGTTTTAGATCAACATAACCGAGACAAAGGAGGGCCAGGTGCCCAAGATGGAGATTTTCCCCAAGGCTGGCTTGGGAGCAGAGCAGCAACTTCCCATGGTCTGCCTCTTACCTGCCCCCAGATTGCGACTTTCAAAGTAGTCCCTTGTCTGTGGCTGTGGCAGCTTGTGGAGAAGGGAGGGGAGGATGAACTGGAAAGAAAGGCTTTACCCAAGGAAACAAAGACTTCTGTTGTGGACCGGGGAGGGTGTGGAGCAGGGAAGTGCCCACTGCTTTGCATAAAGACTCAGCTCACCTAAGCCTCAGGCACTCCCCAAAGGCAGCCTGGATTTGGAAAGCCTGGTCAGTTTCCTCAAGGACTCACACAGATGCTCCTTTCAGAAGGTACAGAAGCCACCCAGAGAGTTCCCGATGATCATGGGCTGGAGAGCAGCCAGTCCCTCCTCATTTCTACCCACCCTTCAAGTCCCAGTTGAGTGCCACCTCTTCCCAGAGCCCTCCCAGATTGTCCCAAGGCAGAACTGTGTGTTCACACCTTGGGTTTCTAATGAATTTAAAATTAGAGTCTTGGATTCCCTTTATAGGAATTGACTCCCAAGATGATGAGGACATAAATAACCAACATGGCTAAAGCCTCCATCTCTCAAGTCTCAGGCCCTCCCCTCCTCTGGGTCTTTGCTCAATGTCGCCTCCTCCACGAGGACTTCCTGGAAGCTCCTAAACACTAGGACATCACCTTGTCCCCATTTTGTATCCCCACACTCTCTGTCTCCTTCTCTGCTTTATTTTTCTCAGTAGCCCTTCTCATCTGACTTATTGTATTTAAATTATCTGTTTATTACCCACTTCCCTGCACTGGGTGTCAGTTGCCTGGGGGCAGGAATTTGTCTGCTGATCACTGTTGTGTCCCAGCACCTAGAACAGGGCCCAGCCCATAGCAGGTGTTCAATGTTTACTGGGTATGTTACACCAAAAGGGGAAGGAAAAAAAAATCCCAGTTCTTGTCTTACTCGAAAGATAAGAATTCAGACAGGAGACTAAAGCATTGTGTAGGGAAAAATCTTACAGGTTTTATTAGCAAAGGGAAAGTACAACTCCAAGAACGGGAGGCGGGCTGATCCAAGGGCAGAGAGCAATAGTCTTTGCCCCTTGTCTCATACCCTGACTTAGAGGTCGTTTCTTCATTGATCGACGGCTCTTGCCCCTGGAATGCTTAGTCATGCTCATCCCCTTGTGTGCATGTCCTTACCCATGATGCACACGGAAAAACCCATGGTGGGGCCTAAACCACAATGCTAACTGGATTACAGTGAGCATTGGGGTCATGTCTGGTTAGGTCTTTGTCGCCAGCATGCAGTTGTGGCTGTCGGGTTCTAACTGGTTTCTTGCTGGCACTCATTTAGAGGAAGTAAAGCCCCTTTATGCTGAAGGTGGGCATATCTCCATCTTCTGGACTAGCCTCCCTCTCCTCCACCTTATCTGCCTGGTGCCCCCACTTAACCTAAGTAGCTAACAGGTGGGTCAATTCCCATTACACAGATGAAGAAACTAAGGCTTGGGAAGGTTGAGTCACCAGGCTAAGGTCATGTGGCTGGTGAGGGGCAGTCAGTCTTTCATTAGAAACCTACAGGAGCTCAAAAAGTCAAACGGCCCAGCCATTCCTGTCGGGGGTATACACCCAGGAGAAATGAAAACATATGTCCACACAAAAACTTTTACATGAATATTTGTAGCAGCACTATTCACGATAGCCAAAAAATAGAAACAACTCAAATGTCCAGCAACTGATGAATGAATAAAACACATGCGGTATGTCCATACAGTGGAATATTATTTAGCCATAAAAATGAAGTGCTGGTATATAATGACACGACATGGACGGATCTTGAAAACATGCCACATAAAAGAAGCCAGACTCTGAAGACCACATATTATATGATTTCTTTTATATAAAATGTCCAAATTAGGCAAAACTCTTACAGATAGAAAGTAGATTAGTGATTGCCTGAGTTGGGGAGGAAGTTTGGGAAAAATGATGGATGAACTGCTAGTGGGTACAGGGCTTTTTTGGGGGGTGGGGTGATAAAAATGTTCTAAAACTGATTGTGGTGATGATTGCACAATTTTGTAAATATATTAAATGCCATGGAATAGTACATTCTAAATAGGAAAATTATATAGCATGTGAATTATATCTCAATAAAGCTGTTTAAAAAAAACCCCATGAGGGCTCCACCCTGGATGTTGGAGGGGTAAGATGTCCAGTGAAAACAGACGTGGGCCCCTGCCCTCCCTCCTCACATGCAGTGGGGAGACAGAAAGAAATCGTTGGTCACAAAAGCAAATTTACTCTTGCAGGGGATCTCCCAAGGGAGAGGGAGATTCAGGATGCAGTGTGCAGGGCAGGTGAGTGGGGGCTTGCCCAGCGCAGGGTCGATGGGGTTGGGGAAGCTTTACTGGAGGTGTGAAGGCCACCCAGGCTCCTTGTCCCCCAAGCTATCCCATTCCCGTGCAGTCGGGCACACCGTGGACGTGGGCCTTGTGTGTTTCAGGCTCCACTGGGGCAGGCAGGAGCTCCTCCCTCGGGGCTGGCATCTTGGGCCCTTGTGGGGATGCCTCATGATTTGTAAAAGCCTGGGTGATTGCTAGACTGGTCCCAGTCCTACTGTAGCGAGCTGAAATGCAGCCCTCCAAAAGATGCGCTCACATCCTAATTTCCAGTTTGTGGCCTAATTTGGGGAAAAGGTCTTTGCAGATGTGATTGAGCTAAGACTCCAGATCATCCCAGATTATCCAGAAGGACCCCAAATCCAATGATATGTCATTATAGGAGAAGAGAGAGACACAGAGAAGAGGACACCCACGTGAAGGCAGAGGCAGTGACGGGAGTGAGGTGGCCACAAGCCAAGGAGCACCAGGAGCCAGCCAGAAGCTGGCGGAGGTCGGAGTGAGGCCCTGCCCACACCTTGACTTTGGGACTTCTGGCTGCTAGAATTGTGAGAGTAAATTTCTGTAGTTTTAAGCCATGTGGGTGGTCATTTTTTACAGCAGCCCTTGGAAACGAAGACACCTGCCTCCTGCATTTACCAGCTGCCTTACCTGGAATGACACATTTCTTATGCTCCTGAGCCTTGGCTTCCACATCTGTGAGATGGGGACGCCCCGAGTGCCTACATCACTGGGTGTGTGAGGACTTGATGGGATTGATGAGGACAAAGCTCTCAGGGAAAGTCCTGGTACCCTCCCTAAGTGCCCCTCACTTGTAGCAAGATTTAAAGTTATACACCAAACAATTCTGGCCCTGACGAGTCCTGTCTCTGCAGGGGCACAAAAGAACTTTAGAAGTCCCCATGCCAGCCTCCACGCGTGGTTTGTCACACCTAGCACAGGACCCCGGGCTCATCACAGGCCATCAAGGTTGTGTTGTACAAAATGGTGCTGATGACCCCTTGGGATGTCATTTTTCACCCCCTAAAAGGGATAACAGGATCTCTAAGTGGTCAGAGCATGGAAATTGGTGGTAATGACCCCCCACGATGTCATCTTTAACACCCCATTAAAGGGAAGGCAGGATCTCACAGCGGTCAGACCACAGACTCTGAGTCAGACTCCCTGCGTTTAGATTCCTGCTCCGTGACTCACTTGCTGTGTGACCTTGGGCAAATTTCTTAACCTCTCTGTGCCTCCGGTTTCAAATGAAAAATGGGCATGATGTGCAGTGTGCCACTACCCCATCATGTCTGTAAATGCTGGTGTGAGAAGATGCCATGTGGAGGTTACATAAACGTCAGACCCAATAGAGAGGACATTCCTTTGAATTTGAAACCTAACCAAGTTTCCACTTGAGGCCAAACTGCCTTTTCACGGCTTGCCCCCACCCTGCCTCCAAAGGGAAGCTCACCCCCCAGGAGAGCTCTCAGGCTGCACGTTGCTCAGGATTTTCCCGGCCAGCTCTTGTGAAGCCTGGGAGCAGTAATGAGCGCCTTGGCACTTGCCGCCCACATTTCTGGAAGACGCACCCAGCTTCGCGGTGTGAGCCCTCCCAGGCCAGAATGGAAATGCGGCATCAGCATGGGCTTAAAGATCAAGTCGAAAGGTCTGTTTTCTCTAGGGCTCCACCCCCTGAATTCTTGGGATTCTTGGTTAATGGAAGTGCCCCCAGGGGGCCTGCTTCCAGGGCTGAGCCAGCAGAGCTGACTTACCCCACACAGGGCTCGGGCTGCAGCCCAGAGTGGGATGGGGTGCGGAGGGGGCACCGAGGACAAGGATTCCCGCTGTCCCACGAGGCCAGGGCATCCTGCTGGGGCTTAGGCCCCACCTCACCATCCCCAGCAAGCTGGCGTCCTAGAATTTTGTCCTGTGCAGAGGGCAGGGCTGGAGCTAGCACACAGCACACTCCAGGAAATGTAACACCACGCCTGAGGGACCAGCCTGGGGAGCGAGGGACGCTGAGCCCTTCAAAAGGGGAGCTAGTGTCTGGGCTGCCTGCCTGCCATGTGATCTGGGCAAGTTTCAGCCTCCCTGAACTCTAGTTTTCCCGCTGGTAAAATGGGGTTCACAGCATCACCTCCCAGCACTGGGTGAAATTCTGGCCACCACCTAGTGTTACTGAAGAATAGGTGCTTGTCTGGCATGCGAAAGAATTCAAGTGCAAGGCATAGTAAAGTGAAAGCAAGTTGTTTTAGAGAGAGATACACTCCATAGACTGTGGACCATCTCAGAAGGAGAGGGCGCGGGGGAGAGGGAGACCACAAGGTGCGGGGTGCTAGTTTTCATGGGCTTGGTAATTTCATGTGCTAATGAGTAGGAGAACTAATCCACCTATTTTGGGAAAGGGGCGAGGATCTCCTGGAAGTGGGTCCTGCCTACTTTTTGACCTTTTATGGTCAGCCTAGAAGCTGTCATGGTGCCTGTGGGCGGGCCATGCGGTGCAAGGTTTACTGGAAGACGAATCTTGCACCATCTTGATTGTAACCCATTTGTCCTTTCCTCAACTGCTGTGTCATTCCTTCAATGGTTGTGCCCTGACCCCTTCCCTCTTGTCTCCCTAGTGGTGTTTGGTGTCCTGAGGAGACAGACTCTGAGGGTGTCTGGGGGAGACGGGGTGAGGTTGGAGCCCAGCCAGGATGCCCTGTCTTCGCAGCACAGTGGGAACCTGGGCTGGCTGTGTACGGGAAGCAATGATTTGCCACCCAGAACGCCCTCTATTTTTTTTTCCCTCTGGAGTCCGTGTTTGGAAACTTGATTCAAAAGCCTGCTGTGATCAGCGATGCTCCGTGTGGCTCCGGATTTCCAATTCCAGAAAGGCATCTATGGATCAGTTCAGGTGTGGTGAGCAGCGTCTCCGTGCGGGCACTGGCCTCAGGAGGCAGGGAAGTCCTGGAGGGTGAGCCTCCCTCTGTCCACTTGTTTGTCCCTCGGTCCACCTTTCTGTTGGTCTGTCTATCCTTCAGGGAGTAGATGGGCCGAGCCCTTCTACTTCCTGGCTCTGTAAATGTGGGCAAATTAATTAGGTGATTGTGGGCCTCGATGTGCTTGTCTGTAAAGTGGGGATGACACCAGCACCTACTTCTTGGGTGGTTTCTGGCATTAAGCAAATCCACACAGGCGAGGGACTTAATAGCTGTGCTGGCTCATGGTAGGCACCAAACTGGTGTTGGACCTTATTTATTAACATTATTGTTATTGTTGCTATTGAAACTTGCACAAAATTAACATCTGGCTTCACACACTTGGCAAAAACTTCTTCAACTTTGGCAGTGACCTTGAATGCAATCTTGCATGAATCTATTTCACAGCTGTGCATTCACCTCAGTTGGCTCTTGGTAGGACACGGACTTGGCAGGTCTCAGTAAATGGCAAACATTTCATAGTTGCATTACTGCCCTGAGCAGCTAGAGTTCCAGCCACAAGCAACCCCACTGAATAACTCAACAGCCTGTGCTTCTTAATTTCCGCTGCCTCTGGAAATTTCAGGATGACACTGCATACTCCCCCTGCTGTCCTCACAGCTCCCCGAGGAGCTCCCTCAACCCTCAAGTTAAATCCACGCCTCAGTGAAGCAACACGGGTGGAGGTCCTGGGCAGAGAATGGTCTGGGAGTTAAAACCCCAAAGCTTTGCGCTCTCCTCGTCCTGTTTGTCCCTTAGACACACTAAATTGGGAAGAAGGATAGTACTGGTTAAGATTGTGGACAGATTAAGCTGCTTAAAGCAAAGCCCTGCTCTAATGGCTGTTAGTCTAAAACTGCCCTTCTTCGAGGCTCAGTTTCCTTATCTGTCAAATGAGGATAATGATGCGCTGTCACCTAGAAGCTCTACTGAAGGGTAAATGAGGTAAAGGTGGAGGGAAATAGCTTGGTGGCAGAGCACATGCTTAGCATGCATGAGGTCCTGGGTTCAATCCCCAGCGCCTCCATTAAGAAAAAGGATAAGCCTAACTACCCCCCACCAAAAGCTTAAAAAAGTAAATAAATAAAATTTTAAAAAATCATGCTAAAGAAATATCCACTGATTTCTCTCTTGTTAAAGTGTTCTTATAAAAAATGGAGATTGAGTTCTATTTAATGCCTCTTTATTAGCTTTCTCTTGAAACCTATTAATATGATGAATTCTACTAACAGATTTCCTAATGTAAAATTATCACTGTATTCCAGAAATAAACCACTCTTGGTCATGATGATAATTATTTTAAAGTACTCTCAGATTCTATTTGCTAATAATTTGGGATTTTTGGAAAAATATTTACAAATGAGCCATATCTGTAGCTTTTTTTTTTTTTGCAGTTTGTCAGGTTTTGTTATCAATGTTATTCTTGCTCCAAAAAATAATTTGGAATGTTAACAAAGATGTGGCATAAGTGGAACGCTCCTTCATCATTGATAAAAGGGCAAAATGGTAAAACCACTTTGGAAAAAGATTAGCCAGTTTCTTATAAGACCCAGACATACACCTGCTCCGTGATCCAGCAATTCCATTCCGAGGCATTTATCTAAGAGATGTAAATACATATATCTAAAAAATGACTTGTGACAAAGGATGTTCATAGCAACTTTATTCCAGTAAAAAAACTGCAGACGGCTGAGGTGTCCATAAACTGAAGAACGGATGCACAAACTTACACATTCAGATGATGGAACGCTACTTAGCAAGAGAAAGGGAAGCCCAGATCTAAAACACTAATTTGCTTTCTGTTTCTATGTTGCCTGTTTCAGACATTTCATAAAAATGCAATTATGCAACATGTGGTCTTTTGTGATTGGTTTCTTTCATTTAGCATAATGTTTTCAAGGTTCATCCACATTGTAGCATGTATCAATACTTCATTCCTTTTTATAGCTGAATAATATTCCATTGTATACCACATTTTTTTTGCCCATTCATCAGTTAATGGGCATTTGGGTTGTTTCCACTTTCTGGCTATCAGAAACAATGTTGCTATGAGTATTCATGTATAGGGTTTTGGGTGGACATGTATTTTCAATTCTCTTGAATACATAAGTAGAAGCAGAATTGCTGGGTCATGTGGTAACTCTGTTTAATACTTTGAGGAACTGCTAAACTGTTTCCAAAGGGACTGGACCATTTTACATTTCCACTAGCAAGGTAGGTAAATTCTAGTTTCTCCACATCTTTGTCAATACTTGTTATTATCTGTCTTTTTTATTATAGTCAGCCTCTTGGGTGTGAAGTGGTATCTCATTATAGCTTTGATTTCAATTTCCCTAATGGCTAGTAGTATTGAGTGTTTTTCATACACTTATCGGCCATTTATATATCTTGTTTGTGTCTATTCAGACCATTTGCCCATTCTTAAATTTGATTACTTGTACTTTATTATTCAGTTATAAGAATTTATATATTCTGGATATGTCATTTATCAGATATATAATCTGTAAATACTTTCTCCCATCCTGTAGGTTTTCTTTTAACTTTCTTGATGGTGTCCTTTAAAGCACAGAAGTTTAATTTTGATGAAATGTAATATATTTATTTTTTCTTTTGTCTTTTGTACTTTTGATGTGCCTAAGAGGGCTTCGCCTAATCCAAGGTCACGAGGATTTACTTCTGTTTTCTCCTTAGAGATTTATAGTTTCAGCTCTTACATTTAGGTCTATGATCCATTTGGAATTAATATTTGTGTATTATGTAATGAAAGGGTATAAATTCATTCTTCTGCATGTGAAGATAGAGCTGTCTTGCTACCATTTCTGGGAGAATTATTATTCTTGCCCCATTGAATTATCTTGCCATTCTTGTCAAAACCCAATTGACCGTAAACATGGCGGTTTGGTTCTGGACTCTCGATTTATTGCGTTGATCTGTGTATCTATCCTAATATGTCAGGGACCACACAGTCTTGATTATAGTGCTTTTGCGTTAGTTTTGAAAAAGGGAAGTATGGATTCTTTTTTCCAACTGTGTTCTTTCTTTCAAGATTGTTTTTGGTATTCTGGATCCTTTGTATTTCTATATGCATTTTAGGATCAGCTTGTCAATTTCTGCACCAAAAAAAAAAAAAAAAACACCTGGGATTTTGATAGGGATTGCCCTGGATCTGTAGATCAATTTGACAGGTTTTGAGGGGAGGGTATAGCTCAGTGGTAGAGCCCGTGCTTAGCATGCATGAGCTCCTGGGCCTGTTGTTTATATCGCTTGCTTATTTATTTGTTCGGTGACTTGGATGGACTATTTCAATAAATTCTGTTTCCCTCTGTGTGTAGCTCTGACTCAGGGGGTGCAGCCTCGAGCAGCTTATGATCAGACCAGCGTTGAATCACGTTGTTTTCCTTCGGGCCCTCGACTTTCCCTGACCTCGCTGGGGAAGCTGTCTGCCTCTTTGGTGTCACACCCAGCCATTAGCCTCCACTAATTGCAAGAAAGGCTCTATTGTTTTCACCAATGCTCTGAGGCACGAATTGTTCCAGGAGCTTCTCTAGGCTCCTGGACTACGGAGGACTTTCCCATCCTTGGATCCTGCTGCACATGTGGCTTTATTTTTTAACTGAAGTATGTAGTCAGTTACAACGTGTCAGTTTCTGGTGCACAGCACAATGTCCCAGTCATGCGTACACATACATGTATTTGTTTTCCTGTTCTTTTTCATGAAAAGTTATTACAAGATATTGAATGTAGTTCCCTGTGCTAAACAGAAGAAATGTTTAAAAATCTGTTTTTATGTATAGTGGCTAATGCTTGTAAATCTCAAACTCCCCAATTTATCCCTTCCCACCCACTTTCCCCCAGTAACCATAAGGTTGTTTACTATGTCTGCGAGTCTGTTTCTGTGCTGCAGATGAGTTCATTAGTGTCCTCTTTTTTTCTTTTCTCAGATTCCACATATGAGTGATACCATATATTTGTCTTTCTCTTTCTGGATTTTTTAACTCCGCGCTCCTGCTAGGCAGATGGCTTCTCCTGCAGTAGCTTCCCCTTCCAGGCCACTTGGGCTGTTTCACTTCCGAGTGCTCTGAAGTGGCTTTTCCTAGCACCCAGGAGGGCAGATTTCCAGGAAATGTGGGGGGTGCGGGGGCAGGGGGAGGGGTAGATGCCAGCCTGCCTCAGTGGTACAGCAGCAGAGAAACTATTAACCAATTCAATGAGTCACACCAGAGCCTCTCCAGGGAGCTCTGGGTCTCCATCCAGTGGGGTGAGAGGTGGGCTGTCCTGTGGGCTCTCTTTCTCAGGGAAGAGTTGTTCCTTATATCTGCCTTTCCTCTGAGCTCTCTTTACTTCGCTAGCCCTCATCTCTTGTGACTCTGTCATGGTTAATAATTCCTTGCATCGCACTATTCCTCACACACCGCTGGGTGCTGGTGAGGCCATGTGGTTGGCAGAATCCTGCCGTCTGCGCATCCAGAACCAGGAAGCAGAGCCCTGCTCTCCTGAGATGTCTCTCCAGTATCCTTCGGTGCCAAGGGACAAAGGGAAAATATTGAAAGTTTCCAGCACCATTTTCATGAACAGGCAATAAACTGATAACCGACAAAAACTCAGATGTCCAACGGTGGCAGAAAGGGACAGAAGTTGTGCTATATTCAAGCGATGGAATGCTAGACAAGGATGAGAACGAATGAACCGATATTTACAACACGGAAGATACACGCAACACAGTGTTCAGTGAAAGAAGCCAGACAAAAAGGGACACTCTGCATGATTCCATCTGTATAAAATTCAGACACAAGCCAAGTGAGTCTTGGCTTTCAAGGAAGAGTAGTGGTTACCTCTGGTGGGTGTAGTAACTGGGAGAGCGGGTGGTGGTGACAGTGAGAAGCGATGTTCTAGATCCTGGTTTGGGAGCTTGGTTACTTGGGTGTGTGTGTTTTGTGAAAACCCCTCAAGCTCTGTGCGTATGATTTAAGCACTTGTACGTACGCACATGTATGTGCACATTTATTTATTATAGCTCAACAGAACTGACTTGAAAAATGAGAGGTTATTTCCACACCCGTGTTCATTGCAGCCCTGTTCACAATTCCTCAGTCAGGCGCTGTAATGATCTCCTTCTTACAGGAGAGGAAACTACATGCAGAGAACAGACATCACTTACCTGAGGCCACAGAGCCAGTATACAGAAAAGGCAGGATTCAAGCCAGGCGGGCTGGCGTCTGGGTGGCTCCTCTTAACCTTAGCTGCACTGCCTTGGTCTGGGTCTGGATGGGAGCATCCAAGTGGGGTCGGGACAGCCACCTGCAACCAAATACACTTTGCCTGCTCTGACCAGATGCCCGTGAGGAAGGCTGGCTGTGTGCCTCCTATTTTATAACTGAAAGATCAGGCCTCTGTGGCCTGGGCAGCGCACGAGAGGCCTCCCCCTTGGTGCTCAGGTAGGGGTGCTGTTTGAATCTGAGCTTGACTGAAGCGGTGGGAAGCTCGTGCGCCCCGGGTCGCCCCGGTGGCAGGCAGGCTTGCTTTCCTGGTCCCTGTATTCCTTGGGGAGCGAGGGCCCTCTGGCTCCCATGGGTGGGGCTGTGTTTATGTAGAAGAAGCCAGGTCAGGTCACTAGTCAAAGTTAACACAAAAAAGTGGGAGGGAGGAGACAGCCCATAATACCAGCCCAGCCACTAAGCTCCTCGTGGCCTCGGGAACATGGCTGTCCTGTGGTTGGTGCTCCCAGAGGCCCTGGGCGCCTGCTTCCGGGGGGTCTTTATCTGGGCTGTCTTGGAGCTCTTCCTCGCCTCGGATGTCCCCCCCACTCTGCAACCTCCTGCCAAGTTCAGTCTCTGCGTGCATGTCCTTCTCCGCGATCACTCTGCTGAGTCTGTGCTCAGGCCCCGACATGGCTGGGGCTCTCTGTCTCTTTCTGTACCTTGCCCCTCCTTTCCCTCTTTCATTTGCCTTCCCTCTCTCTCTTCAGACACCCCCAGGAGAGACAGACTTTGCCATTCAGTGGGCTCTCTGTATCCGTGGGTTCCGCATTCAT